GGCGAGAGTCGAAGGAATGGGAAGCCCCAGGCGCCGAAGCCCCCAGGAGTTACGGGCACAAGACGGGTGTCCGGATTCGGAGCAACTCCCCAGCTCAGCAGGCCTTGCCGGCCTCCTCCCGCGGTGGAAATGAAACACCTTTTCTAATCACTCGGCCGCGTAGGAACCTATCATCACACCCGCAGCCGACAGATCTGACCTTCCCCGCCAGGGAGGCCGACCTCCACGGGGCGGGTGCCGGTCTCTGCTCCGGGCCCCCGTGTCCTGTCGCTCTAGTGGCCAAAACACCAGCGGGCCACAGGGAGCGACGTACAACGTGGTTCCCTGATGAATCGGTCTGAACGGGAGGTTTCCACAACCACCCACCCCTGGAGACTCCACTCCACTCCTTCTGTCTGCCTCCAGGGTACTGTTTCCACAGGCGGGGGCTACCCGGGGCCCAGCTCTGCAGGACGCACACTCCTCCACCTCAAGGCACGGGCCCGTCTTTGTATTCCGATCAGCCAGTTCACCTTCACAAAATTAAGAGGCAGCACACACGTCTAACGTGCCGTTATGTGGCAGGACCTGCAGCCAGGGAAGACTCCTGGGTCCCCAGGGGGACCCCCCAATGACGCGTGCTCCTCTCTGATCACTAGCCGTCTCCTCCTCACCTGGCCTAGACCTTAGGGTCAGTCATCGTTTTTGCCATTGCCTGCAAGGCACCCTCACTTGGCCAAACAGCCGCCCTGGCCCACGCAGCCCCCACCCAGCCCACACCCGCGGCCACGCAGGTAGACAGGGCTCGACACAATGCACACCGCCGCGCCCCGTGGGCTCACGGTGCTTGTCCGCTGCTTGCATGGACGTGCTGGGTTTGTCACTTGTTCCTTATATTAAGGGTTTATTGTCTGCTGGCTCCAGGGGGGCAGGGGACTTTGCCTAGCTAATTCAAACGTCTGGCACAAGTAGGTACTCCGCAAATACAGCCGTGAATGGTGTGCTCCCCAACACGCGGACGGGGCGCAATCTGTGTGTTTAAATAGGGCAAGGAGGCACAGCCGCCAGTGAGGACTCAGGACAACTGGGCCTGCAGTCCTGTGGCGGATCAACCCTCTTCTCTTACTCACAACTAGCCTGTTCCAACGTCCTGTGGCCACGTTGGTCCAAAAGACAGTCACGATACGGCCTCCTGCCTCACTACTCCACGGACTCCTGCTCGTGGCCGTGACGCTGCCGGCCCATCGCCGTCTCTCCCTGGATCTCCCCGCTGGGCTCCTGGCCTCCAGCTTGCCCGCTGGAATCCAGTCCACCCACGGCACACACACGCAGCCCAGGAAGCCCCCCGGGCTGAGCAGTGCTGCCCCTGCCCCCTGCTTACAGTGCAGCGAGGAGAGGGGCAGGCACAGCCTTCCCAGCACAGATTCATACACTGAGAAAAGTCTCCAATTATTTTCCAACCCATTTGATGGAGAAGGGAGAAAGCCTCCCATGCTGCTATGCTCTGGCTTCAAGCACGTTTTCATCTCCATCCTTGACTGAGAACCGGCCTCCAACAGAGGCTGCATGCACCGTCCAGCTCGGCCGCCACGGGTGGCTGTTTGACTTGAAATCTGAATTAACTGAAACAAAACTAAATAAAAAGCTCCGTTCCGTGGTCAACCTAGCCACAGTTTAGGCGCTGCCCCAGCACACACGGCCGGCAGCTACCTACCAGCCTGCCCAGAGCTGGGATATTTGCACTATCACAGGAAGTTGCGCTGGCCGGGGCGGAGGGACGATTTTATTCCCGCTGTCCTGTTCTCATAGCATTTGTCTTCACCGTTTCATCCCGCTTGTGATAGGTCATAGGTTTTATTTTCACTTATGGCAGCCGCATTTAGAACGCGTTAATTTAGACAAAAAGACAAAAAAGAAAGCAACTTGACTTAAAGGAAATTAACAGAGGGGCACCTGGGTGGCTCCATTGGTGGAGCGTCTGAGTCTTGATTTCGGCTCAGGTCACGATCCCAGGGTCGTGGGATCGAGCCCCGAGCTGGGCTCTGTGATGAGCAAGATTCTCTCTCTGCTCCTCCCCTGCTCACGCTCTCTCTCTCTCTCTCTCTCTTTCTCTCTAATAAAAAAAAAATTTTTTTTTAAGAAAATGAATAGAAACTAGAAACATTGGGAAAATGAAGGAACACAGACACAGGAGCAGGCGTGAGGGGGTTTCTGGAACCACCGACATCAGGAGCCCGGCCCCTCCCAGCATCCTCGCCCTGCCATGCCCACCAAAGCAGCGCAACGTCCCTGACGCGGAAGGAGGCCCCCACCGGCAGGGCCGAGTTCTTCCATTGCCCCTGTGTCCCGGGGCTTGCACGGGGCCCAGGCCAGAGGAGGCACCAGGCCTTAATGGCTGAATGAATGAATGATACGCTAGCCCTTACACGGCTTCAGGGCTTTACAGGTTTTAAGGGCTGTGGGCATTCACAACGCTACCGAATCTTCATAGCAGCCCGGGAGTGGAAACCAGGAGGGTGGCTGCAGCGGGCAGCCCAAGGGTAGGCCAAGCCGCCTGGGGCCAGGCCTTGGCGGCCTGAGCGCGAGTCCCAGCTCTGCCCCTGTCAGCCCAGCCCCCCCCCCCCGTCTCCCGGAACCTCTCTTTCCTCATCTGTAAAACGGGCTGATGATGCGTAACCGCTTCGCAACTTTCACGCCAACACGCACACCAGGCGAGCTCACGACGGCAAACGGCTCCGTGCACCGCACGGCGCTGGGAGGAAGCACCTAGGACGGCCCGCTGCAGGTACACGCAAGTCCCACGCCACCCCGTGTGCAGACCTGGGGCTCCCATGTGACTCATTTCACTCTGCTAGGAAGCTGGCCCACACCTCACACCTGGCAGCGGACGTCTGTCTGTGTGGCCCGCCGTGGGGGCCCCCAACTGCTGGGGCAGTGCCTGGCAGGAGATGCCCCCCCCCCCCCAGGGACCCCCTTCCAGCACCCTTGACTCAGGCCTGGCCAGTGAGAGCACTGCATCCCCCCCCACGCCAGTCATGGGTTTGGAGGTGCCCCTGAGGCCCAATCAGAGCCCATGGGGTGCCATCTGGGGGCTTATAGTGGGACAGTTCACAGAAAACTGGTCTCTTGTCTCTTGGACTTTACTCTGGGAGGGCGGGACATGTGCCGCTGGCCCCCATTTGCCGCCACGTGGCACCTAAGACAAGCCTCTAGAGCAGAGAGCAGAGGCAAGAAGCAGAGAGAAAGATCCGATGACATTGTTTCAGCCCCTGAATCCACCTGTGCCTGAAGCCTTCTCACGGTCCATAAGTCAACAAATGCCGTTTTGCCCGAGCCAATGGGGATGAACTGTTCTAACCCTTGCAACAGAAGAGTCCCGACCAACTGAAGCTCTCCCATCGGGGAGGGGGTGGGACCTACCAGGCTTTCAGCCTGAACGGAAGGTCAGGCAGATGCCCAGCCCAGCCCTGTCCACCAAGCCAAATTTGAGCTTCCATTCCTTCCCAGCCGCTCCAGCCTCATCTCCTCCTTGAACCTTTGTGACCATCCACCTCCACCCTCCAGGCTCATCGCACTCGCTCCCTCGGGGCAGAAAGGAGACAGACGCTTACGTTTCCCAACACGCAGAGCACCAGCTCCGTGCTGGGTGCATCTCGGCAGGGCTCCCTGAACCCTGCAGGCCCAGCGGGGAGGGGCCGGTGAGGAGTCCGAGGCTCCCAGAGATCTGGCTACTCACCAAGGTCAGCGAGCTTGAATGTGCAGAGTGAGACTCCCACAGAGAGAGGCTCACGTTGACCGCGAGGCCCCACATCTGCCCTACATCCTCTTGCTGGGCTCAGGAACAGCGGGTGGCACTCTCTGCCCCTCCGAGCCCCCTTCTCCCCGTTCCCAGGGTCTCCCTGCCCACTGGCCTCTGGCAGGTGCCTAGCTCTCGGCCCTCAGAAGTCGTTTGCTACCCTCTGCTTCTCCTTCAGACCTTCCAGGCTGCTCCTTTTGGCTCCCAAACGCCCTCCCGGCCAGTCCTAGCTTCTGCCCCGAGGGACACAACCCACTCTTGACCGGCGAGGCGGGAGCAATAGCAGGCATGAGAGCCCGTGTTGGGAGCTTCTCATGGCAAGAACTGCCCGGCACCCCGCACAGAGCGGACACCTGGAGACCGTCAGCTTGCACGAGAGCTCTTGGGGGTGGGGGGCCTCGCACGCCCTGCCACTGCACACCTGAGAGGCATCCTTCACAAAGGGCAGCTGGATGTGAAGGTTGGACATGGGGATCCGGGGCTGGGGGGCCTGGGCTGGACATTTGCTAGGTGTGAGCTTTGAGCAGGTTAACTGGGGCTCCCCGTGACTCAGTTTCCTCATCTGTAAAGAAGGTCACGATAGCACCTACCTCCTGGGTTGTTGTCAGGGTGATGTGAGTGAACGTGAACACGTGTTGAGGCCAGGCAGAGAGCCGCACTGTGTATGATTATTATTGTTGCTCTGCAAGGCCCGACACCTTAGCAACCCTAGCTGGTCTGTCCCCTGCGGCCCTTCCCAGGCCTGGCTTCTGTACAGAGTTCTTTCTCCACTTATCAGTGGGGTCAGGACTGCCCCTAGCTTGCCTAGACACAGGGGACCACCAGGCAGGGTCCCCCTTTGGTCCCATCCAACTGGACAGGTGACACCTCAACTCTCACTCTAAGCCCTGGTTGGGACCCCGAGGCTGTTCATCAAGCACTGAAGCCCCTGCCTTGGGCCACAACCCAGGAGGGCTGACCCCAGGCCTCTATCTCCTCCGTGGCCCCTGATGAGGTCCCAGAACGACATGGAAAACTACCACCTGGAGAAGGCAAGGGGACGAACAGAACCCTCGGCAGCCACGGCTTTAAAGTCTTCATAAAGCAACTCACCGTGGTTCCGAATCCGGGCCTCACTCACTCACTGGAGACGTTGCACCAAAGCAGAAGCCCCCAAGTCGGCTTGCTTACAACTGAGCCAACCGCCCCCACCCAGAAGCCCCCTGCCCGCAGCTGGAAAGGATACTGAAGCTCCTATCGGTGATGGCCAGGTGCCAGAGGTTAATGCGAAGGTCATCTGCCGACATGTACGTCTCACAGTCGCTGTTGACGGAGATGGAATTGATGTGGTAGGTGTGGCCATTGGCAAAGACCCTCCGTGGGCTCACCTCCACCATCAGATCCATGGGCTTCAGCACGGGCACCTGCAGAGGAGGGGCGGTCCCCAGGGCGATAAGGTGATGGGGGGAGCGCAGGGGGGCCAGCAGCCAAGGCAGGAAACGGCAGGCCGGGGCCGCGTGACCAAAGCTGGAGGCTGGGAAGGTGCACATAAGCAGTGCCCTGTGGCCAGCATGCACTGCCTGCCAGCCCTGCAGGGAAGCTTCGCCTCCCGGGATTGGTTCTGAGCCTGCTGTGTGACTTTGAAGCAGTGGCTGAACCCCTCCGCACCCCAGGTTCCTCACCTCCAAAATGGGATGATACCGTGGCAACCCCAGCCGATTATCCACCATTTCTGTTCCCTCCTCGCGAGTGGTGGCCCAGACAAGAACTACGTTTCCCAGCTGCCCTTGCAATTTGGGTGTGGCCACGGGACTGGTTCTCACCCATAGGAATGGGAGCACAGGGGTGCCTGGCACTTGTGAGCCAAGGCTGTTCGGAGGCAGGTGAGTCTTCTCCACCCCTTTCCCCCTTCCGCTGCTGGAAGGTGAGGAGCCAAGCTTTGGGAATGAAGGTCCGTGGGATGGACGGAGCCTGTGTCTCTGCGGGACAGCCATGTGTCACCCAGGACCTTTCCACGAGTGAGGAGTACATTTCGGCATCTTCCGCCCTGCAATGCCGGGGCTATTTGTTACAGCTGCTGGCGTTAGCCTAACTCCTACAAACTCCCACCTTAAAGGGTTGGTGTCAGGGGCCCCTGACACAGCATTGGTATCGTGCCTGGCTTCCCTGTGCGCCCTCCGCCTGAAACGTTCACCCTCTTTGAACACGTGGTCGTGCCGACTCCTCCTGTAAGACCCAGACGCAGCAGGCCCGGAGACTTAGCCTGCCCTGGCAGTGGGGGCACGGGCCTGCTCACCCCCACCACCTCTCTGCTAAGGCTCTTAGCGTGTGCCACGGCGTGTGTCGGGCACGACGCTCCATTCCAGTAAACCGTGAGGTCTTCAAAGGTGCGGAGACGGGCACACAGGCACGGCTTCATCAGTCTCTCCCGGGCCTGGCCCACGCTCGACGCTCAGGAAGTAGGGACTAGCACTGCCCTCCCCACGTCCCGGATGGGGAGACCGGATGCCAAGATGACCCCGACTTGTCGAAGTCGCCGTCAGGAAATGCAGAGCCAGGTGTGACTGTCCCGAGGGCATCCCGGTGGCAGGGCGGAGACCGGAAACCCTCCTGCCCTGCCGCCCACTAGTGTTACCCTCACCGGGGAACTCAGCTGTCTGGGCCTCACCTTCGTTATCTGTGAACAAGGGCGGCTGGCACCAGCTCAGCGGCTTCTATGAGGACCCACGAGTTAACGCAGGTCAAGTGCGTTTAGAATGGCGCTGAGCACATGATGAGTCCTCGTGATGGTCCTCCTCAGGAGGTGATGGGGTGTGTGGGGGGGGGGGAGGCCTCACACAGCCACGGGGGTTCCGGCGCGGGCCAGGGTGGACCCTGCTGCAGGGGCGATGGGGACTGCGTCCGGGAGAGAGGCGGCGAGGCCGGCCTCCGCGTGACGAGACCTTGGGATTCTGGAGACGGGCCGTGCAGACGTTGTGGACTAACTGCAGGCCTCCTGAGCCTGGGGCGGTGATGACCGGGTAGGATCCTGGGTGAGGACACACTGTGGTCGATGGGCTGCTTGTCCTCGAGCGGGAGAGAAAGACAATGACTGATACACAAGCGAGCGCGCGTGTGTGTGTGTACGTGTGTGAGAGTGAGATTTCATGTAGCGATAGGTGCTATTTAGAAAAATAAAACAGGTGCGGGGATGGGGTGACAGGGCCACGGGGGTGGGGCCAGGTTGGAAAGGTAGCCAGGAGGGGGCGTAGGAGAGGGGCTGCCGTGGGCTGGGCGGCTTGGACTCAGGCTCACATAGGACCTGAGAATCTCCTCCCAGGGCACCTCCCGAGTCCACCTCACTCTCAGGCCAACCAGGGGCTCGCTGGAGTCGCCAGTTTGTCACAGCCCTGACCACGTGACGAGGCTGTCTTGTTCCTGCCTTGGCCTGGGAGCCAGTGAGGGGCACGCTGTGTCTTCCCTGGTTCACCTCTGGATCTCTGGTCCTCAGCCCAGGGCCCAGTACTCAGGTGAATGAGTTAACAGGTGAGCCAATGAATGGGCTGTGTCCCTCAAGCTCCCCAGGGATGGCTGAGATGGGAGGTGACAGCTTTGGCGCTGCAGTAGGGGTGGGTGAACACTAAGTGTTCCTTCTGATGCAAATGCAGTATGAGCGTATGCCTGCGTGTGCCTGCGTGTGCACAGGTGAGTTGCGTGTATGTGTGTATGAGTGACGGGGTGTGCAAGTATGCACATGTGCTGGTGTATAAGTGTGTGTGCACGTGAATGTGGGTGTGTACGACTATATATGTGTGCGTGCATGTGCATGTGTGTGCCTGCGTGTGCATGCATGTGTAAGAGTGTGTGCATATGTG